ACGGCCTCGAGCCCCCAGGAGGCCCCCGAGAGGCCCAAGGAAACACCCGAGAGGCTCCCAGTGAGTTTCCAGGACGCCATACGACATCATAAGACGGCCTCAAGAGGCCTCTTTCCTGTTTTTGCTTCTCCTCTTCTTCCTCCTCCTCGTCCTCCTCCTCCGCCTTTTGCGCCTCCTCCTCCTCCTCCTCCTCCTCCTCCTCCTCCTTTTCCTCCGTCTCAACCTCATGTTTCTTTCTCTCCCAGCTGTTCCCCCCAAACAGGGCTCCACAGTGTCTGGGGGGAACAATTTGCCCAGTAGCCTGGCCATACTTTGGCCCAACGTTTGGCCGCATGGCAAGGCAAGGCAAGGCAAGGCAAGGCACGGACGCCGCGTGGACAATCTCTGATGGACCCCTCGGCGAACAGTTTGTGCATCATGTCAGAGGCGGCACGAGCGATGAGGAGGGGGAGGAGGGATGAGGCGGGAGCAGGAGGAGGAGGAGGAGGAGGAGGGATAAGAGGGGCGAGGAAACACAGGCACACCATCACCGTACACAACGCCTGGAACATGGAAACATGTTTGGCCGCATGGGCGCTTCCAACCTGATATAGTCACGAACCCCGACCTTGGAGGACAAGTGGGCGTGAATTGCGAGACAGAGAAAAACGAAGAAGAGGACGCATATAGGACGCATTCTGCTGGTTCCCGTGTTGTCCGTTTGTGCTGCTTTGTCGAGGCGCCTCCAGCCGTCGTGGGGCCCTCGTAGGGCTGTCCTGAGGCCCTGTTGGGCGTTTCCGGGGGCTTGCTGGAGACCTCCCAAGGTGAGCCCAGGAAATTGCCATACGAGCTGAGAAGTCTTGGGGCTGTCCGTTTGTCGCTGTGAGGCTTTGTCGAGGCACTTCCCTGGAGTCGTGGGGCAATCCTGGGGCCCTCTTGGGCGCTTCTGGGGGCTTCCTGGAGGCGTGGTGAGGTCTTGAGGCTTGTTGGTGTCGTCTTGGGGGCCTCTTGGGGCCTCCTCAAGTCCTTCAGCCGTCTTGGCGCCCTCCTGAGGGAGTCCCAGGGCTGTCCGTTTGTCGCTCTGACGCTTTGTCGAGGCGCTTCCAGCAGTCCTGGGGTCTTGGGGCAGTCCTGGGGTCCTCTTGGGAGCTTCTGGGGGCTTTCTGGAGGCGTCTTTAGGTCTTGAGGCATCTTGGGGTCTTCTTGGGGGTCTCTTGGGGTCTCATCATGTTCCCGTGTTGTCCGTTTGACGCTGTGAGGCTTTGTCGAGGAACCGCCAGCCGTCCTGGGGTTATCTTGGGGCAGTGCTGCGCCCGTCTTGGGCGCTTCTGGGGGATTGCTGGAACCTCTGGAAGGTTCTTGGGGGCCTTTTGGGGCCCCTTCAAGGATTATTGGGGCCTCTTGGGAACTTCTGAAGAGCTTCTGGGGGCCTCTGGAGGGGTTGTTGGGGCGGAGAACCCGAAACCTCGGATTTCGTGGGAGGTTGTGTTGGGAACGTTTCTGAAGAAAAGGTGGCCAAGAAAACGACGATGCGTCTTGGAAGTGGGCTCAACACGCGACCAGGCGAGCTACGAGGTGAGCTCAGCACGTGTCCATGCGAGTCACATGTAAGGGAGGGGGGGAGCTCAGCTCGCGACCGTGTGAGTCACGAAGTGAGCTCAGCACGTTTCCATGCGAGCCACAGGGAGGGGAGGGGGCGCGGTTGCATACGACGGACGGGAAAGTTGAGTTTGGAGGATCTGGGGGCTCCTGGGGGCCGTCGGGTTTGACTGGAGGTCGTGTCGGGGACGTGTCTGATCGTATGGGGGAACCGGATTGGACAACCTGCGGCGGTCGGGGGGCCGCGTGCGGCCGTATTGAAGCCTCTCCTGGAGGCCTCTTGTAGGGCTTTCCGGCAGTACGAAACGTCGCTTGGGGCTTCTCTGCGACAGCTGTCCAGAGGGAAGGGCGGCCAGAGACTTCCTCACAATTCACTCACAAACGAGGCTCCCGCTCGATACTTCCTCCAAATTCAAACCTGAGAAACCCCAAAATGACAACAGTTACAGGTTGCCGATGACCCGAAGGAGGCCAGAACAAACACTGTGCGTCTTGGAGGTGAGCTCAGAACGCGACCATGCGAGCCACGAGGTGAGCTCAGCACGTTTCCATGCGAGCCCATAAGAAGAAGGCCAGGGTGCGCATTACATTGGTTCCCGTGTTGTCCGTTTGACGCCGTGACGCTTTGTCGAGGCGCCTCCTGCCGTCGTGGGGCCCTCTTGGGGCTGTCCTGAGGCCCTGTTGGGCGCTTCTGGGGGCTTGCTGAAGACCTCGTAAAGTGAACTCGGGACATTTCCGTACGAGCCAGGAAGTCTCGGGGCTGTCCGTTTGTCGTTGTGACGCTTGAGGGCCTCTTGGGGTCTCCTCAGGTCCTTCAGCCGTCCTGGGGCCCTCCTGAGGGAGTCCCGGGGCTGTCCGTTTGTCGCTCTGACGCTTTGTCGAGGCGCTTCCAGCAGTCCTGGGATCTTGGGGCAGTCCTGGGGCTTTCTTGAGGGTTTGTCGGGGCTTTCTGGAGGCGTCTTGAGGTCTTGAGGCCTCTTGGGGTCTTCTTGGGCGTCACTTGGGGTCTCATCAGGTTCCCGTGTTGTCCGTTTGACGCTGTGAGGCTTTGTCGAGGCGCCTCCGGCCGTCCTGGGGCTCTCTTGGGGCAGTGCTCGGCCCATCTTGGGCGCTTCTGGGGGATTGCTGGAGGCCTCTGGAAGGTTCTTGGGGGCCTCTTGGGGCCTCTGCAGGGGTTATTAGGGCCTCTGGGGCAGAGAGCCCGAACAATCAGACCCTGCCACCGCTCCAGGGGCTCTCTTGGGGCGTGCCTGGGGCGCTTGTGAGGCTGTCTTGGAGGCCTCTTGGGTCGTCTTGAGGACGTCTTGGGCCGTCTGAGCGCTCTCTTGGGGGTCTCTGAGGCTGTCTTGGGGCGTTCTTTGGGACCTCTTGGGCCGTCTTGGAGCGGCGGGAAGCCGAACAGGCGAAAACCAAACAACTTTCAAACACCTAGTTTCAGGCTCTCCTGGAAAGCGTCTTGGGGGCCTCTCGGGGCATTTTTTGAACTCCCTGGGACATCGGCACGCCATATTGGGCGTCTCTGGGGGCTTCTGGAACTCAAAAGAGAGCAGCAGATGACTCCACAGGGGGGTCTGGGCGGGACCCGGGGAGGCTGCCGCCGAAGCCGAAATCGCTTTGGACATCCTCGCAAAATCGCTCTTGGTGCTCCCAGAACTCCATTCCCGGGCCACATTTTGGATGCCCGGAGCCAACTGTAGGCCACTTCGTGCTCTTCGACTTCCCAGAACTCCATTCCCACGGGCCACATTTTGGATGGCCCGAGCCAACTCTGTAGGCCACTAATCTGCTCTTCTTCGTTTCCCAAACCTCCGTTTCCCGGGCCACAATTTTTGGGATGCCCGGAAGCCAACTGTAAGGCCACTTCGTGCTCTATTCAAGTTCCCAGAACTCCATTCCTGGGCATGATTTGTAAATGCCCGGAGCCAACTGTAAGGCCACTTCGTGTTCTTCTAGTTCCCAGACCTCCAATCCTGGGCCAAAAAAACATTTTGATCTGTGGCAGGCTTGATCTGCGGCCCGAGGTGCGTAGCTGAGGCTGCGGCAGGCTGAGGCTGAGGCCGAGGCTGAAGGCAGACTGAGGCTGAGGCTGAAGCAGGCTGAGGCTGAGGCTGAAGCAGGCTGAGGCTGAGGCTGAGCAGGCTGAGGCTGAGGCAGGCTGAGGCTGAGGCTGAGGCTGAGGCAGGCTGATGCTGAGGCAGGCTGAGGCTAAGGCCGAGGCTGAAGGCAGACTGAGGCTGAGGCTGAAGCAGGCTGAGGCTGAGGCTGAGGCTGAGGCCCGAGGCCTTGAAGGCAGACAGAGGCTGAGAGCTGAAGCAGACTCCGATGAGGCTGACAGGCAGGCTGAGGCTGAGGCAGGCTGAGGCTGAGGCTGAGCAGGCTGAGGCTGAGGCTGTGACTGCGACTGCCGTTGCCGCTGCGACTGTCATCGCGAATGCGACTACGACTGCGAGAACAGCAGAATTCTACAACTGGATTTTCATCTGAATCTTAAGGGGAATGCTTTCATATATGCTTCTACATATCGCTGTTAGGTTGCTTTGCCGGGATAATTTGAACTCCCTGGGACATCGGGACGCCATATTGGGCGTCTCTGGGGGCTTCTGGAGGGGTCACTGGGGCGGAGAACCCGAACAATCGACCCCTGCCTCCGCTCCGGGTGCTCTCGTGGGGCGTGAATGGAACACTTGTGAGGCCGTCTTGGAAGCCCCTTGGGTCGTCTTGAGGACGTATTGGGCCGTCTGAGCGCTCTCTTGGGGGTCTCCGAGGCTGTCTTGGGGCGTTCTTTGGGACCTCTTGGGCCATCTTGGAGCGGCGGGAAGCCGAACAGGCGAAAACCAAAATACCTTCAACAACCTAACGAAGACAACAGAGTTTTTACGTTTCGGGCTCTCCTGGAAAGCGTCTTGGGGGCCTGTCGGGGCGTCTTTTGGTCTCCCTGGACGTCGGGACGCCATATTGGGCGTCTCTGGGGGCTTCTGGAGGGGTCACTGGGGCGGAGAACCCGAAAAATCGGCCCCTGCCTCCGCTCCGGGTGCTCTCTTGGGGCGTGCCTGGAACACTTTTGAGGCCGTCTTGGAGGCCTCTTGGGTCGTCTTGAGGACGTCTTGAGCCGTCTGAGCGCTCTCTTGGGGGTCTCTGAGGCTGTCTTGGGGCGTTATTTGGGACCTCTTGGGCCGTCTTGAAGCGGCGGGAAGCCGAATAGGCGAACACCAAAAAAACCTTCAACAACCGGAGGAAAACTAATGATTTGTTATGTTTCGGGCTCTCCTGGAAAGCCTCTTGGGGGCCTCTCGGGGCGTCTTTTGGGCTTCTTGGGGCCGTGTCCTGCCGTCTTCCGCCGGCGTTCCGCCCGTGGCCGGGGCCATCTCCCAAGGGGTACCCCCCAGACCCCCCCAGGGGGACACTAAACGGGAACCCCTCCGCCAGGTCGGGGAAACCTGATATTGTCACGAACCCCGACCTTGGAGGACAAGTGGGCGTGAATTGCAAAACAGAGAAAAACGAAGAAGAGGACGCCTATAAGACGCATTCTGCTGGTTCCCGTGTTGTCCGTTTGACGCTGTGCCGCTTTGTCGAGGCGCCTCCAGCCGTCGTGGTGCCCTCCTAGGGCTGTCCTGAGGCCCTGTTGGGCGTTTTTGGGGGCTTGCTGGAGACCTCCTAAGGTGAGCTCAGGAAATTGCCATACCAGCTAGGAAGTCTCGGGGCTGTCCGTTTGTCGCTGTGAGGCTTTGTCGAGGCACTTCCAGCAGTCCTGGAGTCGTGGGGCAGTCCTGGGGCCCTCTTGAGCGCTTCTGGGGGCTTCCTGGAGGCGTGGTGAGGTCTTGAGGCTTGCTGGGGTCGTCTTGGGGGCCTCTTGGGGCCTCCTCAGGTCCTTCAGCCGTCCTGACGCCCTCCTGAGGGAGTCCCAGGGCTGTCCGTTTGTCGCTCGGACGCTTTGTCGAGGTGCTTCCAGCAGTCCTGGGGTTTTGGGGCAGTCCTGGGGTCCTCTTGGGAGCTTCTGGGGGCTTCCTGGAGGCATCTTGAGGTCTTGAAGCCTCTTGGGGTCTTCTTGGGGGTCTCTTGGGGTCTCATCACGTTCCCGTGTTGCCCGTTTGACGCGGTGAGGCTTTGTCGGGGAACCACCAGCCGTCCTGGGGTTATCTTGGGGTAGTGCTGCGCCCATCTTGGGCGCTTCTGGGGGATTGCTGGAGGTCTCTGGAAGGTCCTTGGGGGCCTCTTGGGTCCTCTTCATGGGTTGTTGGGGCCGGGTCTCCCCCCAGACCCCCCCAAGGGGAACACTAAACGGGAACCCCTCCGCCAGTTCGGGGAAGAGACAATGGAAAAACCGTCCCCGGAATGTTTGGATCTGCACCCGTGGCCCTGGTGGCCCTCGTGGGCCCCCGTGGCCCTGGTGGCCCTGGTGGCCCTCGCACGCCTGGCCCTCGTGGCCTCCTGCCCCGAAGCTGGGCCCGGCGCCGGGGCCGCGGGCGCAGCCGAGAGACGGGGAGGCAGGGAGGGCGGGAAGGGAGGTGCGGGGGGAGGAGTGACGCCTCCGCCGCCCCTCCTCCTCCTCCTCCTCCTCCTCCTCCTCCTCCTCCTCCTCCTCCTCCTCCTCCTCCTCCTCCGTCCTCCTCCGTCCTCCTCCTCCTCCTCCTCCGTCCTCCTCCGTCCTCCTCCTCCTCCTCCTCCTCCTCCTCCTCCTCCTCCTCCTCCTCCTCCTCCTCCGTCCTCACTCCTCCCCCTCGTTCCCGTCCTCCTCCTCCTCCGCCTCCTCCTCCGCCTTCGCCTCCTAGACACTCCTAACCTCCTCCTCCTCTCCTCCTCCATCTTCCTCCTCCCTCCGCCCCTCCGCCTCCTCCTCCTGCAGAGCCTGAGGTACGAAGTTCAGTCGAACGTTACCCTCCGTCCTCCTCCTCCTCCCTCCTCCTCTCCTTCCTCACCTCCTCCTGCCGCCTCTCCTCCTCCTCCTGCTCACCTCCTCCTCCGCCTCCTCCTCCTCCGCCTCCTCCTCCTCCTCCTCCTGCTCCTCCTCCTCCAGGGGGACGCCGCGCGGCACACGCCCGCGCGCGCCTTTGGGGAACTTCTCCTCCAGCAGGGCGAGCAGCCCCTGCCTGAGTGCCTGCGCGCGCACCGGGCACGTGGCGACATCCGAGCCCTACCCCTGCCAATGCCACGGACCCTTGGGCGCGAGTCGATGGGGGCGAGACGCGCGCGCGTGTGTGTGTGTGTGTGTGTGTGTGTGTGTGGGGAAACGAGGAAAGGTGCCCTTCTCGGGGCCCTCTTGCCGTCGCCCGGACGTCCAGTTCCAGTGCATTTGTCGGTTTCGTGCGTGTTTTTTTGCTCGATGGTCCAGGATGGAACTCGATGGTCCTCGCCGAGAAAAAATGCACACGTCCGAGCGATGCAGAGCTAAAGGGCCCCCTTTCTCGGGCGTTACGCCCGCGATGCCCCCATCATGTCTGTTCCTGACACATGAGGCGACGGTCTCTTGGCTCACGACACCCTCTACTCCCTCCTCCTCCATCAGACCTCACCTCCCTCCTACATTTATCCTCTCATTCACATCCACCTCCGACCCACCCACCCCCCCCCCAGCGCACTTTCCACTTCCATTCACTCCTCATCCCTTCTCCTCCTCCTCCTGCCTCCTTCCTCCTCCTAACTCCTCCTCACTCCCTCCTCCTCCTCCTCCCTCCTTTCTACCCTCCCCCTCCTCATCCTCCTCCTAATCCTCCCTCCTCCTCCTTGGCTCCTCCTCCTCCTCCCTCCTCCTCCTCATCATCCCCTCCCCCCTTACTCCCTCCTCCACCCTACCTCGTCCTCCTCGTCCTCCTCGTCCTCCTCGTCTTCCCTCCTCTCCTCCGTCCTCCTCCTCGTCCTCCTCATCCTCCTCACTACTCTCCTGCCTCCTCCGCCCTCCTCTCCTCCTCCTCCTCCTAATACCCCCCTCCACCCCCTCCTCCTCCCCTCCCTCCTCATCCTCCTCCCTCCTCTCCTACTCCTCCTTCCTCCTCCTCCTTGCCCCCTCCCCCTCCCCCTCCCCTTCCCCCTCCCCCTCCCCCCTCGCCCTCGCCCTCGCCCTCGCCCTCGCCCCTCCCCCTCTCCTCCTCCTCCTCCTCCTCCTACTCCTCCTCCTCCTCTCCTCCTCCTCCCCTCCTCCTCGCTGCTCCTCCTCCTCCTCCCCTCCTCCTCCTCCTCCTCCTCCTCCTCCTCCTCCTGCCCGACCTTGATCAGGGCGTCGCCAGGCGTCCACACCGGGCGACTCCTCGTCTGGCCTCGGGCCTCCCAGGGCCAGGGCCAGCACGGCTCGACCCCTCGGGCTCGGAACGCGCCGCGGGGAGATGGGGTGTGGGGGAGGAGGAGGAGGAGGAGGAGGAGGAGGAGGAGGAGGAGGAGGAGGAGGAGGAGGAGGAGGAGGAGGAGGAGGAGGAGGAGGAGGAGGACCTCGGGCTCGGAATGCGCCGATCGCCCCCCCACTAAATTCGCTGCGAGGGTTGGGCACGTGCTGTCGGAACGGGTGAAGGGAGGGTTGGAGGAAGAGGAGGGGGATGACGATGGGGAGGAGGACGGAGGGGGCGGGACTGGGCAAGCTCAGTCCAAAGGTTAATCACCCCCCCTGATAAATACCCCATCCAGAGTGCCTCCGCCGCCGCCCATCGAATTGCCAGACTCCGTGATCGGCGAGTTCAGCCCTTCGGATCCAGCCGCCGACCCGGGCAGGCTGGAGAAGTACACGTCGTTGATTTCTAATCGTGCTCATTTCTAATTGTGCTCGTTTCTTATTGTTCCTGGCTCCCCGTGGCCAGGAAGAGGCCCACGATATAACAATCAGAGATGAAAGGATCTTGGCCCCCCAAAAAATCAGAGAACCTTCGAGGGATTAGAAATGAACCCTGTGCAGCAGAAGCGAAGTGAGGCGAAAACGCCGGCGTCGTGCGCGCTGCGCTGGGGAGCGCACCCAGAGTCGTGCGCGAGTCGTGCAGCAGAAGCGAAGCGGAGCGAGGCGAAGCAGAAGAACAATTAGAAAGGACCTCGCCCCCCCGAAAAATCCGCCGGCCCCCTTGCGGGGCCATCAGGCTGCGAGGATTACGCTTGCTGCTCCCTGCACCAGTTCCAGTTTCCAGTTTCCATTGTTACACTACTGCAATCTGCTTCCTACTGAAAATTGTTACTGTCCGCGCGAGGGAGGGGAGCCGAAAACCACCCTGGTTAGCACCTCACGGGAGGATTCTCAGAATTCCTGGGGGGGTAGGTAATTCGCCGGCCCAACGGGCCAGGGCGTGCTAAGATCTCCGGTAACTGGTTAACAGTATTAACAGTATTTCTAGTTCGCGCGCGCGGGGCGGCCCCTGGGGGTCCCCCGGCGAAAAGTACCCCGACCAACGCCCGGTCGCCGCCCGGTCGCCGCCCGACCGCCGCCCGACCAAGTCTACTCAGAGATGGTTTTCCTCCTGGGTGCGGCCTCTCAGGCTCCCCAGAGCGCGCTCAGAGTGCCCCAAGAGGCCCCCAAGACTGCCCAAGAGGCCCCCGAGACGCCCAAAGAGCGCTCGAAGACGCCGAAGATGACCCCAAGACGGCCCAAAAGGCCCCCAAGACAGCCCAAGAGGCCTCCAAGACGCCCCAAGAGCCTTCCAAGAGGCCTCCGAAGAGAGCCCCAAGAGGCCAAAATCGTTGATTTTCATTTGTTTTTTCGATGTTTTTTGTGTTCTGGCTTTTTCGGCTTCCGGACGCTCCAAGACGGCCCAAGAGGCCCCCAAGACCGCTCCAAGACGGCCCACGAAGCTCCCAAGACGGCGCCGAAACGACCCAAGAGAGCCCTCAAGACGGCCCAAGTGCCGCCCAAGACGGACCAAGAGGCCCCAAGACGGGCCCAAGAGGGACTCAGGAGGGATACCGAGAACTCAAAAATGGAGCCCTCCGTCCCAGAAGGCGCCCAGGAGGTCCCAAAGAGGCCCCAAGAGGCCTCCAAGAGGCCCCAAGATGTCGCCAAGAGGCCCCAGGAGACTCCCAGGAGGCCCAAAAGAAGCCCCAGAAGGCTTCAAACATGTCTCCCAGGCGCCCCCGAACGGCCTCTCAACAGACCCCAAGAGGCCCCCCAAAGAAGCATCTTGACGACGACTCTATTTCGCCCCATCGAGAGACGACCCCCAGGGAACTGCTTCACCATCAAAACTCCCCACGCAACGCGTCCGAACGACACCCGCCCCCAAGAGCGCAACATGGGCAACGAACACACAGACAAAAACCAGCGATGCCATATCACGGGCCGGCGGAATGAGCGAAGCGATTCAATAATTGACACCCCTCACGCAGATCGGCGGGGTCAGGGTCCAAGAAACACAAAGGATTTGCCACATTTCTGAAATTCGGTGGCACCCCATCACGCAGATCGGGGTCAGGGTCCAAAATGATCGACCCACGAACGCGGAAAGGAATTTAGAAATGTAAGACATGGCAACGTTTCAAAGACACCTGATTGGGCGACGGGCAAATGCAATGCTGGGTGTATCGATCTGGATGTACGTACCGTGCCGAGGGCTGTGCTATGCAGCGCTGTGCTGAATTGCGATGTACCATGCCACGATTGGGCTCTATAGCGTTGTGGATCGAGTCCTCCTTTGCATCGGAGTCCTGACTGAGCTGATCTGGATCTTAAGCTCGAGCTGCCTGAGCACATAACTAGTAGCTGCCCCAGAGCTGATTGACAAGGGAACATGCCAGGAGGACGCGCCGAGGAACGTCCCAAGGGACGCGCCAGGCGACGTGCCAGGGGACGTGCCATGTGGACGCACCGCGGGACGTGCCAAGGGGACGCGTTACGGAACGTGCCAATGGACGTGCCACGGGACGTGCCAGGGGACGCGCCGCGCGACGTGCCAGGGGGACTCGCCACGGGACGCGCCCCACGGAACGTGCCAAAGAACGTGCCAGGTTGCAATGCTGAGTGCATCGATCTTGATCTGCCCCAGAACTAATCGACAGGGGGACATGCCAGGAGGACGCGCCGCGGAACGTCCAAGGGACGCGCCAGGCGACGTGCCAGGGGACGTGCCATGGGGACGCACCGCGGGACGTGCCAAGGGGACGCGCTACGGAACGCGCCAATGGACGTGCCACGGGACGTGCCAGGGGACGCGCCGCGCGACGTGCCAGGGGGACTCGCCACGGGACGCGCCACGGAACGTGCCAAAGAACGTGCCAGGTTGCAATGCTGAGTGTATCGATCTTGATCTGCCCCAGAACTAATCGACAGGGGGACATGCCAGGAGGACGCGCCGCGGAACGTCCCAGGGGACGCGCCAGGCGACGTGCCAGGGGACGTGCCATGGGCACGAACCGCGGGACGTGCCAGGGGGACTCGCCACGGGACGTGCGAAACGTGCCAGGCTGCAATGCTAAGGGTATCGATATTGATGCACCGTGCCGAGGGCTGTGCTGTGCCTGGGCGACTTGGACACGTGAAAACACGCGTTTCGCTCAAGACGTTCTCAGCACACCCTCATGCTAGACATCCGCCTGGGCAACCTGGACACGTGCAAACAAACGTCTCGATCGAGATTTCCTCAACACATCCTCATGCTAGACATCCGCCTGGGCGACCTGGACACGTGAAAACAAGCTTCTGGTTTGAGACATCCTCAACAAATCCTCATGCTAGACATCTGTCTGGGCCACCAGGAGGCGTGAAACCAAGCGTCTCGCTCGAGACATCCTCAAGACCTGGGCACGTGGAAACAAGCAGGTCCCCAGGAGAGGACAATCTATAACACAAAACAAGCGTTTCGCTCGAGACATCCTCAACAAATGTTCAAAAACAAGCGTTTCGCTAGGGACATCCTGAAATTTTAATTCGCCGGCCCTCTTCCCACTCGTTATTTATCGCAAAAGAAATCCGCCGGCCCTCTTCCCGTCAAAACCGGAGGAAACCTCTAAAAGAGAACCCTGGGCCTGAAGCCCTTTCTGGGAAACACAAATGATTTGCCACATTCCTGAAATTCGGTGGCACCCCTCACGCAGATCGGCGGGGTCAGGGTCCAAAAACACACGGGATTTGCCACATGTTTGAAATTCGGTGGTGCCACTCGCGCAGATCGGCGGGATCAGGGTCCAAAAGCGCAA